CTGTCTTTGTGAGGGACAAAAGAGAAAACAGGTAACTAAAAGCTGTGTAGGAAAAAGGGCTTGTACCCAAAAGCAGAATGAGCTGTTTGGCATCCCAAAGGTTTTTGATACCTCCTCAGAGACTCACAAGCAGCCCAACAGGATAACCACCAGCAGAGGCCTTGTAAGGACTACTGATGTAAATTTGTCTGTGTGCAAGTCTTCATATTGCCACTTCTCCTTCCAGTTATTTCATGGCAGTAAAGAATGTAGTTTTGCTGATCACATTTATCAGCAACAACTAAAACAATCAGGCAAGAATGAAAGAGGATATATGTGATTTAAGACTACTGCCCAGAGCAGGCTGGGAAGCTGTAAAACTCAGCCTGTCTTTTCCCTCATGTGTTGCCTGGTCTAGTCGAGAGGTGACGTCCCTGCCCACAACAGGGAGGTTGGATTAGATGATCTCTAAGGTCCCTTCCAGCCTAGGCCATTCTATGATTCTATGATTCTTCACCGTCTTCCTAAAGCCCTTCCTTGTTCAAGGCCTGTCTAATTCAAATGTACTTTACAGTTAATTCAAGTCTTTCATGACTTCTGCTTATTTCTTAAAGCCTTGTCTCTTGTGTTCATGAACTTCATGAATATCTAAACTTTCTTATGATCATGGAGAAAGTGTAAAAATGTGGTCTTACAGGGTCCAACACTAAATGTTTATAGTTGTTTTCTAATGTTTTGGGGTTTTGACACCAGTCTTCTGATTTTGGAAGCCTTATTTTACGAACTGCATGCTTGCTGTTGGCAGTACTGTATAGTGTGCAAAGAAACCTTGGAAGTATTTGTTAGTGCTAGTACTGTTTAAAGTTAAATCTTACTGTGTGTTTGGTCATGTTCGAGGGGTCAGACCCTAAAGATGTATCTTGTTCCTTGTCTGGCTTTGCTTACTTCTAGTTTCTACTTCTCATGGAACCCAAGCCCCCTTTTGATGGCAAGATGCCTAAACCTCCATGTGTACCCTTCCTAACTTTCCTGCTTTCCCAGAGATTTGTGTGTGGTGCTTCTGCTCCATTTGCAGCATGGTCACCACTCACTCCTGCCACTCAGTTGTGTATTGCTCTTCGTTTGTAAGCACTTTGCCAGGTATGAGCCTTACTTTGTGATTTAAAAGGACTGCTGCTCCAGCAAGAAGAGAACATGTTAAAGCCATTGTAAAATCATCTGTACCATGTGAAATTGAGAAGGTGGGATCCAATAATCCGAAACCCACATGGCCTCTGGCAGTAAGCAGGAGAGCTATCATGCTGAAAAAGACCCAGAAGTCAGCAAATGAGCTGAGTTAATGATGTGACACATGAAAATGAAAGGCAGAGTTATGGTGATCAACATACGTAGGAGTGTCTCACTCAAGAGACTGAACTCTCTGTAGTCTTATCTATGTTAGTGTTCTCCACACAGGCAGTGCAGCTATTGAGGTGGGAGCAATGATGGATACTAACTGTAAATTAGCAAGGTGATAGATCTACCAGCATGTTGAACAGTCTGCCTAAGGAAGAATTAGCAACTGGGATTAGCGAATACAATTGGGCAACACTTTGCTTACACTAGTTTGCAGCAGAAGCCTGATTTCACTGTATGTGAAATAATAGTCATATAAAATATGAAATAATATGTGAGCATATTATTGTTGGCTTCTGTTACACCTGCCTTAGGAATATGTTTGTAGAATCTGGGTTCTGGTCCTGAGTGCCTTGATTTTGAGTGCAGTCTTTGGACTCTGGCAGGCAGGCTAGCTGCTGCTGTGGAACAACACTGCCTGCTTGACCAGCTGATTTTTATTATATAGGTTGCAGTGGTGGGAGTAGGCTTTTACTGTTAAATGTCTGACCTCCATACCATGTGGCACTGAGTCACTGTCCTCTGCATATTCCCTGTGCTGCTACTGCAAATAAATTCAGCAGCTTCTGTCATAATAGTTTGCATTAGAGCCAGTGCCACACTTCACACCCTATTCTGGACATTCTCCAACAAGTTAATGTCTTTCACTGAGGAAGGTGAGTAAAACTGATGAGAGTATCCTTAACTAAAGAGCCATAAAATTCTGATAGAGCAGTAATGTTCCCAGTGAGCCTGAAGGGAATCTGATCAATGGTTATGAGGTTGAGGCTCAATTTATGGCTTTAATTCATCAAGCATAGTCATTCTCC